TCAATTGTGTCCACATAAACACTCTGAGGAAATCCCTTTCTACTGCACATCATAGATCGATGAGTAAGAACACGTGACTTAGTGTTTAACTTTGTAGAACCTTTTCTTACATCAAAACCAGCTTTAGCATTATAAGCCTTATACATATTTATTGCATCATCAACACTTAGATATTTGCTATACAACTTTGGTTTAACATCATCAACATTCTCAGGAATCCATATTTTACGAGTTCCACCAGGAGAGAAAAAATCATAAAACATATCTTGACCTAATAAGAAAAATAAAAACATATATCAGCTTAAAAGACACATATTGTAAATAAATGAAAAAAACAATTGAAAATTCACAGTATAATTACATTTATATTATACATAACCAAATAAATTCACATGTTAATAACAGTTAGAACACCGTAATTATACTTTAAAAAAACATTTATCAACTAAAAATACAAATATTATAAATAAAAAACAAAAAAAAAGGAAAATTCACAGTGTAATTGGAAATAATAAATAAAATTAACAAATAAAAACACTATTTCATACATTACATGTAAAAACAAGTACATAACTAAACAAAATCAGATTATAATAACAGTTAAAACATCATATTTACAGTTAAAAAACTATTTATCATATTAGAATACAAAAATTATAAAATAAAAGCAACAAAAATTAAAAATGCACAATGTAACTACAAATAAAAAATAACATAAACAAAGAAAAACACTATTTTATACATTTACAAAACAAAATAACTACATAACAAACCAATTCACATCTTAATAACGGATAGAACATCATCTTCAACTACGTAAGTAATTTTTTAATGTATAAGAATTAAAAACGAATTAAATTAGTAACAGAAGGAAACGAGATACCTGCTGCTGATTCACCTTCGATTGCAATATCGTTATCAGATTGAGCTTGAAACTGACCTAAAGATTGAACATTCAATTGATCTGTTCCTGATACGCTTTGAACATTACTTTGAACACACATCGAATCCAACAGAGAAAACGATGATACTTCGCCTTGAAAGCAATTAAAATCAGATCGAACTATCGACGAACACTGATCAATTTCGTCGATCAAATACCCTAATATTCTAGAATCACTTTCAGATAATGATTCCATACAAACTAGATATAAATGAAAATCAAACAGAATCGATCGATTCAATATAAATTGAAGATCACGAAATATGAATAACGAAGAATCTTTGAGGAATCTGTGCAGAAGAGGTCATCGACATTATCATTAAAAAAATAAATTTAATTAGACGTTTGGTTTTTGTTTGATTTTGTTAATTACTAAAATACCCTTACAGACAAAATAATGAAAATTTTGACATTGACAAAAATAACACATTTAGTTAAAATAATAAAAAAACGTAATAATAACTTATAAATCAAAGGTTCTTATGGTTCTTAATCTTTTTTGGTTCTCATTTGAACCTTTACCTATATAATATATATATATATATATATATATATATATATATATATATATATATATATATATATATAGGTTTAGGTTCTATGGAAAACAAAAACCCTAAAAATAAAAAACATGCCTAAAAAAAATACATAGAGATCACAAGACTTTTTTTTGAAATTTTTTATGAAAAAATCGCAGCTTTTAGTATAAAATTGCTGATATATTTTTTTGAAAAAAAAACAAATTTTTTTATAAAAAAAATTGATTTTTTATTTTTTTTTCCAACGATTTTATACTAAAAGCTGCGATTTTTCTATAAAAAAATTAAAAAAAAAGTTTGTGATCTCTAAGTATTTTTTTTTATGCATTTTTATGATTTTTAGGGTTTTTTGTTTTCCAAATAACCCTTCCCTGATAATATATATAGATATATATATATATATAGATATATATATATATAGATATATATATATATATCTATATATATCTATAATATATATATATATATATATATATATATATAGCTATAGGGAGTGGTTCAAATTAGAACCCAAAAAGGTTAAGAACCTTAAGAACCATTTTTTTTAATTGTTTTCATTAATGATATTTCGACAAATCCAACATTTATATTGTATTCCCTAGTTTACAAACTACTTGTCACTTGTCGCCGAACCACCGTAGGACCGTCGCCGGACTAATATTAAATTCAGTGATATTTTTTTGGTCATATTCACAGCTTAATAGATCAAACGTTGTAGTTTCTATTTATTTGGTAATATTTTTTTTTATTTTTCAGCCAAAATATATAAAATTTTAGTAAAAAATAAAATTATGTCTTGAAAAATTCAAGTTTTTATTTTTTCTAAATTGTAGATTTTAATATATATATATATCTATATAGATATATATAGAGATATATATATATATATATATATATATATATATCTTGTATAAAAAATATTCACGGTTTAAAATACAATATTCACAGTTTAATAAACATAATAATTCTCTAATACACATTTAATATTTTTACATGAATACCTTCATTCATATTTTAACGCAAAAATTATATAACATATACAACTTAATACAGTCCGTTTTTAATTTAATACATAAAATTCACAACATAACATAATATAATCCATTATACACTAATTCATATATTTAAAGAATTCAAACTCAAACTCTACCACCACCAATAACAACTACCGCCCCTCACCACCAACCACATGTACCAGTATCATTATCATCATTCTTTCCAAATTACATATGTATATAAAATCATTGATTTACAACTTAAATAATATATTCACAATTTAATAAACCAATTAATTCACTTATTTAGAGTTCAACGCAAAATAATTAAAAAATAACTAATACATTCGTACATATTTATACAACACAAAAATATTAATATATTCATAGGAAAATTAATACAACATTCTTATTCTCATCAAAATTTATAAAAAATTCATAGCATAATACAGTCAATTCACATTTCAGTACATAAAATTCACACTTTAATATAATAAATTCAAAGTTTAATGCACAAAAAGTATACATCACAACCATATTCTTAACTTAAAACTTACATGTATACCTTCAAATCTATAGGCTAGTTCTTCTTTCAACGTTTATTAACACAAATATTCACAATTTAAATTTTATATACTATATTCAAAATTAGATAAAAGCATATCTATGTATAATGCTTCTTTCATCTTATATTTCATAAGCAAACCAAATATTATAAAAAATTACAGCTTAACACCAATCAATTCACAACTTATTACAGTCAATTCACAGTTTAATACACAAAATTTACAACTTATAGCTTAATCAAAAAATTTATAGCTTAATGTAGTTAATTCACAATTTAAAACACAAATATTTACAGCTTAATACAATAATTCACTGTTTAATATATAAAATTCACTATTTAAACAGAAAATTTGCAGTTTAATGCATTATATTCACACTTTAAAATACAAATATCAAAACTTAATATCAAACTTCACAGCTTAATACAAAAAAAATCACAGTTTAATACACAAAAAGTATGCAATCACAACAAAATTCACAACTTAAATAAAACCTATATTCTTATTACTTGGTAAGAAATTAACATAATAACAAACATTCTAAATTAAATTCACAAAAAAATACATTCTAAACTTTTTAGCTTAATACTATAAATCACAGTTTAATACACAAAAAATACGCATTCACACCTTAAAAAAAAACTTAAATTCGTATTATTTGAAAAGAAACTAACATAATAACACTATCTAAATTAAATTCACAAAATAAGAATCATAAAACATAATCTTTTAATAACATTTTATGCAAATATTATAATAAATTAAAAATCAAACATGAATTCACAACTTAATAACAGTTAAAAGTTAAAACTAAGATTAACAAAAACAAACAAAAAATAAGATATTAAAACATTAAGTTTACACGTTAACAAAAAGAAAAACGATTGAAATAAAAGTATTTTTGTATCACAAATATCAAAGAGTAGGCAAAACTTTTAGAATAAAGGGACTTAGGTTATAATATAATATATAATCTTAAAAAAATCAAACTCAAAATATGTATAAATTCTTAATCAAACAAAAAATCATAAAACTTATATAAAGCTTAAAGCAGACAAAATAGATTAGACCATCCTGTATACTCTCCACGCCAAGGGTCGTGGAGAGCTTCCAAGTCAGCCGCCTCAGGCCACCACGAGCCACCGATGTACTCCCCACTACCGGAAAGAAGAGAGAGAAGAGAAAGAAGGAAGAGAGAGAAGAGGAAGCTGGGAGAGAAGAAGGCGGCCATTGGTCGTTTACAATCGTGATGCCCACCACGAAACACCTCCACCACGAACGGTCGGGCCGGTGTGCACGGCCGTTGTTCGTTGCCACCTCAACCACGGACCCGTTCGTGGAGAGTATACCGGTAGGCCTAGATACAAAAACAAATATGAAAAAGTATAATAAGCCGTAGTATATCTAAAGTCTGAATGACATATCATATTTATAATCGGAAATAATGAATATTAGTTTAATATGATAGGGTCTAGGCTAAAAGCAATAGCAACATGTAGATTTTATACACATATTTAGGCTAAGGGGAGTGGTAACATTTCTAGCACCTTGCCACGTCAGTTTTTAAGTGTCACCTCATTTTTCTCCATTTAACATATAATCTTAACATTTATTAAGGAGTGGTAACACTCCTAGCACTCCATTTTTTTTTTCTTTTTCCAATTTAATTTAATTACTTTATTTTAATAAACAAACATTTTTTTAATACTATATAAACATTTTTTTTGATTTAATTAATATGACATAAGTTTTTTTTAACGACACACACTCATATTAAATAAAAACGATTACAATAATTTAAAACACGATTTAATTTACGTTATTGTTGATTACAAAACTCAAACACATAAGCAAAATGTCAAACTTTATTTTGCACAAACTAAAGAAATTATTTAATAACAAATTTATTAAAATAATTTCTAATTCTTTAACAACTAAAGACTAAAGTAATCCAAGCCCAACAACCAACCCATTAATGCCCCCAATGATATAAAGCCTTTTAAAAAATACCTAATCCCAATTGCTTTTTGGATATGTGGTGGCAGCGAAGGAAGAACAGGCATGCGTCTCTTTAGTTGAATTTTGGAAACATTAATCCTATCATCCTTCTCATCTTCTGTAAACAATCACAAATCAATGGTTTACAAAAATGATTCCTCCTTTCTTGGTTTATCACTGTATGTTTCATCCGCCCCTGCAAGCACCAATCAAATTCAACCTTCACTCTCTCTCTCTCTCTTCTCGCCAAAATTTTAACGAGGCTCTGGTGACGACCCCCCTAGCGAGAGCTAGGGGTGGTGTTCGTTGATCGCTGGCGAGCTTAGCGAGCCCGTTGGCGACCCCCACTCCTCTTAGTCTTATAATAACAATAAAAATGAATAATACTTTAATATTATAGTTACTAGACTCTAGATAAAAGCAATAGAAAGACATGGAGATTAGACGATGCACACTGACAAATTTAAAAGGAAAAAGAAGATTATTACCTCTCTCTAAAACGTCCTCTTTCCTGCACAAAGAAGCTTTGAAGTTATTTCTTCTCAGATGACCGGTAAGTTGCAAGCGGCCAGAGAATAAAAGAGGTCGTCGGAGATGAATAATGTGACTGGAGACAATCTGAGATGAAATAGATCTGGAAGGAGGCGATTTTGTGGAGCCGTGTCGTTTACATAACTCATAGATCTGACCTTGTTGTTTTTCGTTGCTGGTTGATTTGGTATCGCTGCTCATCGGAGTTCGTAAATCTAGCATCGCATGTCGTCGGTGGTGTTGCGGTTGTCGGTAACGGCGATTACCGACTTAAATCACAGATAACGAGATGGAAGAGGACGACATTATTGGTGGATTTTAGTGGTGGATCTGATGCAGAAATCATAGATCTGGAATATGGCGGCGTGGGTGCCGACTTGAATTCCGGTGAGCCGATGGTAGACGGACGCCAACTAGGGGTGTAAGTGAGCCGATCTACTCGTGAGCTACTCGGGATCGACTCGTTAAAAGCTCGACTCGAGATCGAATTAAAGGAGCCTGAGCCGAGCTCGAGCCTAAATATGAGGCTCATTTATTAAACGAGCTCGAGCTGAGCTTCAATTAATGGGCTCGCCAGCCTAAACGAGCTTAAACGAGCCTATACATACATACATACATACATACATACATACATACACACATACACACATACATATATATATATATATATATATATATATATATATATATATATATATATATATATATATATATAATATATATATATATATATATATATATATATAGAGAGAGAGAGAGAGAGAGGCTCGTTTAGGCTCGACTAGGCTCGCGAGCCCACTAAAGTGTTCACGAGCCGAGCTCGAGCTTCATTTTAAGGATCGAATCGAGCTCGAGCTCGAGCTCGAGCTTCCTCAAAATTAAACGAGCCAAGCTTGATCTTGGTCAGGCTCGGGCTCGGCTCGGCTCGTTTACACCCCTAGTGCGCACTGCTCTGGTGTCTTCAGTAGTACGGGCCCTATACTACCGTCCACACCGCATCAGTATTCACCCTAAGTCCTCCTCCTTGGATCCCAGATCACAAGTACTCTATATCTCACTGGCATAGGCTACCCTTCGGTAGACCTCTCATCAGCTCCTCACTGCTACCTACTTGCTCTCAAGCATCACATAGCAGCAAAATCCTTCCTAGGCTAAGGCATCACAAAATCAGGCCACTCTAGTCCTAATATGAATACCTAGCCAACTCTAGCATGCATATCATATCATAACATATCTCATAACACATAATGTAAGGGTATTTTGGGAAATCACCGTTCGGGCGCTGGCTGATCGTACACACTGCTCCTTTCTGTCTTTCTCAAAACCTTTTACTCTTTTAGAAAAATTGTTTATTTTATGAAAAACTTTCTCAATTCCTCAGTTTGAGTTCAGATTCATCCGAAGATGCACCCGAATCCCTCAAACCAAGGCTCTGATACCAACTTGTAACGACGTGAATTTTCAAAACAATTTTTCATTTCTAAATCATACTTTCAATCACATGAAAATCACAAAACATAATGTATCACTGTGTCATAACAAAACATGTCCCCAGAATCTCAATAACATAAGCTCTATAAGTGTGTACGAATCATGCCGGCGCCTTCCCGCGATCCTCGCTCGTACCTGAAACACATAACATAACAACTGTAAGCATAAATGCTTAGTGAGTTCTCCAAAATACCACATACCCCACATACGCCTTTCCAGGCCATAACTCTGTAGGATCTTCCGATACATGTGTCTCAGGGGACTTCCGTCCCAAATCCCGGTAGACCTTCCGGTCCTACCCATATCGATCTTCCGGTCCGTAACCTCTTGACCTTCCGGTTCATATCATCTTGACCTTCTGGTCCTTACCATACGTAACATACATAGCACATACATATATATCATCTTGACCTTCCGGTCCTTATCATTCATAACATACATAGCACATACATATCACATAACCGCATATAGCACATACATCATAGCATACAAGACCTTCCGGTCACACATAGGTACCCTTCCAGGTATAGTATAGTGAGAAGACTCACCTCAATGAAGTCGGATAAACTCTCGTGCTCAACGTCCCGACCTAGCCTCCTCCTATTATTCAAACAACATCCCCGATCAATAATCTCTCATGATCTCATCTCTACAGATTGGGTAGAAGGCCATTCTACCCTTCCCTGAACTCTCCTAAATCAGTCTTGACCAGAACCCTAAAGTCAACGAAAGTCAACGGTCAACTTTGACCCGACTCGTCGAGTGCACAAGGGCGACTCGGCGAGTCCATGTGGGTCCTCTGAATCCTTTCAGCCTCTCTTGGCTCGTCAAGTCATCCTTCCACTCCACGAGTTACACCTATCACGAATCGCGGGGCAACCCCGACTCGACTCGTCGAGTCTGTTCATGGACTCGGCGAGTTCATTCCATGCTCAAACTTAAATGACCTTCTGAGGTCAGATCTGTTCCTCTAATCCATAGATCTGACCTTCCCAAGCTCAATAAACACGTAAAGGTTCAATCTTGATACTCATGCAACATCCAAATGACTCTACTTGATGAATTAGCCCCAATTACAACATCCTAAGTCCATTTCTTCCATAACTCATCATAAAGCAAGATGGATAAGGCTCTCTGGACCACTATGAGTCCAGATCCGAAGCCTAAACATGATAAGGGACCATATTCCCAACAACTCATCCTAATAGAGGGTATAGGAAACCCTAGATCTATGGATTCTTCAACAAAACAGAAAAAGGATCGATATGATACCTCAAGGATGATGTCCTTTGCTTGAAATCCACAGATATGCAACCTCCTTGGCCTCCTCTAGGTTGGAACCACCTTCTTCTTGCAAAACCAACTCACAAAGATCAAATAATGGCTTCTTCCCTCTCACAAACGCTCAAGCACTTCTAGGGTTTCTCTCAAGGGTCTGGTAGCCGCAAATGGTGGCTATAAGGGTCCTTAAATAGGGCACATGCCCCGAGAATTAGGGTTTCATTTAACAGCGCGGACTCGCCGAGTCCACGTATCGACTCGCCGAGTCCGTCATTTAATCAGACCAAGAATGCGCGATCCTACTCGGCGAGTCTGAGCGTCTACTCGCCGAGTCCCTCTCTAAAATTCAATATAAATACTTAAAATGAGATACCTGGGAATCCGGATGTTACAATGCAATCTTCACCCCAATTTGTTGGGGGGTTAACTTTCACACTTGCTCCATATTTTTGACTAATATATTTGATTAAGCCATGATCTATGCCATTTACAAAACCAACACTTGAAGAAGGACAAATCAAAAGAAGAGAAAAATCTTTTGAAAATGATTCACCCTTCGCATTAACAGGTGGAGTTGATCCCATAATTTGTGCGCCACCTGGCGTTCCCATAACAGGAGGGTGAATGAAGGGAGCACGTAAGTGTTGAGATCTTGATGGGTTCTCATGAAGACGTGATGCTATTTGAAACAACGCTTTTCTTACAATAGAAGCTTCACCAGATATCTGAATCAAATCATAACAAATGAGTGCAATGACACATAATCTTAAACTGTTAAATATGCAAAAACAAGAAATGTAAGCTTACTTGTATGAGTTCATCGTTGCTTAATGCACACGTAGGCAAATGATTATCCTTCATAATAAGAATCTGAGCACCGGTTTCTGTCCTTATAGTTTGAACAATTTCTCCACCTTTTCCAATAACACATCCGATTTGATCAGATGAGACAAGGAGACGAGCTGTAACTTGTGGTGCCATGTCAACAACCTCATTGGGTCCCACTTCTTCAGCTACTACTATGTCATGTACTTTGAAAAGGGCATCTTGTGATGGACAAACTCGTTGATCAGTTTCTATTCCATCAAAGTCGTTTGTTTCATCATTTGTGTTGTAGATAGTAATAACACGTTCTCCACATCCAAACACTTTATCAGTAAAATCGATTATTGAATTAGTTTCGGATTCTAATTTTATGAGAATCTTACAACATCCTCCTATTATGCTCATAAGTTTCTCAGCAGGGCATAAGTATCGGAATACAGTATAATCTGAATTGATTAAGTTCTTTCCACTTTCATCACCAATGTTTCCTCTTTTGGTTCTTCCATTATCGTTGTGGTCAGAGTGAGAATTGGAACGCTTTCCATGGATGTTTCTTGATCCCTCCATATGACGCAAAAAAGGGTTTCTTTTTCTAATGGAATGTATCGGTTTTTAATTTGGAAACTATGAGAAAATCAGCACATGAAAATGAAGGCACAATTCCATTTCAAAACTAAATCAATTTACTGTAAGAAAATAAATATGAAATTTTATTCGTATATATTTAATGGTGTATGCATGCATTTCAGGAAAGAGAATGAATGACCATATTACTACAATCTAAGAAGACGCTTCGATTTCGATCAATAAAAGTGAATTCGTAATGTAACCAAATTCGAGTAATGACGTTACAAAAACTAAAACCATACAAGTAACAACAATGTCGAAAACCTGTTAAGCATATAATTATGGATCTGGATTGCATGTCGTGATTAATCGTAAAAGAGAAAGAACAGATTTGACGAAAGTTATTATGAAAATTCGGATACCTTGGCTTCTTCTTCGTTTATGGGAGAGAGGGCCAAGGAACGTTTGCGATGTTGGAAATTGGAATCATAAGGGATCTTTTATTTACGCTCAAAAGAAATAAAACTAGAGAAAAAAAATGAACGATTTTCCTATCATTTCTCGTACTTATTTCTTATCCAGGAAGATTAGTATAAATTATCTTTATTTTCATTTCTCTACCTTCCAACATTGTCTTTTTTTTCGTTTCTTTTCTTTTCTTTTTGTTTGTTTCCCTCCTTAAATGAAACTTTGGAGCAATACATTAGATTTTTGCACCAGCATCGTCAATTGAAGCACTACCCTAGTAGAAATCAGTAAAAAGCAATGTTTTAAAAATGAGTTTTTTAATTGAATTGGTATGATGATTCGGTTTTTGGTTCGTCAGGTTCAACCGCCGGTTTAACCCAGTTTCTATAATTTTGATATATTTTTCATTTTCCTACGTACATATATATAAAAAAACATGAATTTTCTTACATTTGGCAGTGGACGTGTCTGCCTTCAAGTTGTGTAAATTCAGACTAATCTGTTTGATTGAGATATTCAATTTGCCTTGAAAATGGATTGTTTTTAACTGGTAAACTGAAATCTAACTATCCAAATCCAATAAATCGGTTCTATCACACCAGTTCAACCCAATTTTTGAACGACTCTCGTCCCCGGTTTTTGGTCCGACCAATTCAAACGATCGGTTCGAATCGGTTCAGATAAAATAATACATTATAACACCAAATTTGATTTACACCAAAATAATGTCGAAGCTTCGGTCTAACACCAAATTTGATTTACACCAAAGTAATGTCGAAGCTTCGGTATAACACCAAATTTGATTTACACAAAATACTGTCAAAGTTTGGTTTGTTGCTTTTAGTCTTTCATGTTTCATCTTTATTCATTAGTTTATTATATACAACTAGGTTATTATAAAATGTAATAACTATTTGGTTATATTGTAGTAATATATCTATAGTTATAGAAAATGAACTTAAGAGTTTATAAAATGTAATAACCATTTGGTTATATTGTAGTAATATATCTATAGTTATAGAAAATGAACTTAAGAGTTTCGCCTAATTTGACCTTTTTTTTTTGCATAATAGGTCATTTAACTTTTAATGTACATATCAATTAAGCCATTATCGTTAGTTTTAACCATTCTTCCGTTAACTAGTTGTTCTTAATTACACGAATAGTCCTTATGGTTTAAATTTCTTTTGTAGTTGGTACCTTACTTGTTGTGGTTTAAATTACACGACCAAAACGTTCACATTTCTGATATTCTAGGACATACAGTGTCATTCTCTTCTCCATTAAATCTGGTTGAACACCAAGCATACCGGGCATAAATTATCATTTTAGGTTTACCAAATTCAACTCATACTAGACGATTTTTCTTCAAATTGATTAACGATTCACGGTTATTCCATACACATTGCATCATATTTTGTATATAATTTGTATGGTTGGACAATCTCCATTTCAGTAGAAGAAATAATACGCAAAATCAAATCCCTAAAGCAATAACTTTGACAGATACAACATCGGTTTACAATACATAACCTAGAAATCCAAAATTTTAGAAAAAAACATTGAAAGAACACCGACTGCACACTAACGACTCCCTTTAATCATATAAACACACATAAACAAAAGAAAAATCGGCTTAGTGAAGCTTAACAAACCATGGATCTTGATTGTCGTCGTTGGAAAGAACTCTACGGTAAAACAAATCCGAATATCTTATTTAAATCAGGAGAAAATAAATAACATATTAAGAAACCATATCTTCCTCAGAGATGGAGGTTTCCATCATAGAATTTATGATAATCCTGAAAAATCCGTCACTAGTCACCGTTAGAAAATAATAGGAAAATAAATGTAATAGAAAGCATTGTAATATTCAATTTTTAAGATAATAAGAATCACATATGTTGTTACATTTTTTGCTAAAAATCATCCATTATGCTCTAAAAATTAGAGATCAAAAAGTTGTGACGTTTTTCGATTCAGTTAACATACTTGGATAGCACTTATTAACTTGATCTCAAGGATATAAGATTTATAAAAAGTCGACTCCGAAGAAGAGAGTTATGGATTTTATAAAAATAAAAATCAACCACATAGTTAAAATTAATTACGTCAAAACGGTACATAGAGATCGGTTAAGTTTGGTACTAGGCAAGACTATAATGCTAGTAATCAACATCCAAAACCATTTTTTTGTTTATGTCATACTATCGCAATACAATATACAACTATACTATTATCCAAGTTAATTGGATCTAAGCATCCTTTATATGTCTCAAGTTTAAAAACTAGACTAGACTACAATCCCTATAATCAACTTCCAATACCAACTATGTTTAGACAACAATATCCTAATTTAGTGCATATATTTAACATGGGGCATAGGTATTTAATATACATTAATCTTTTAGTAATAATACATCTATCATGTAATAATATCATATACACATATATAACCATATCTGGTTCGCACAATATATGTCATCAAATATATATTTAACACATATTGTAGATAATAAGCATTTAATTCACATATAACTTTCAACAAATATTTAATACTTTTAATAAATACTTGTATTAAAATCATGTTCATGAAAGTAACTATGCACTCACTTGATTGAAGTGGAAGATCCACGAGAAAGCTAGCTCGTTGGCTAATACTTCAGTTTATCCCTTTTGAACAACCTAAATACGAATATTACTACGTCTCAGTATTCGTTCGTATTTATAAGGTTATATTATCTATTTCCAGATTCCTCGATAATCTCAATGAATACTTCAAGTTCTATCAAATAAAGAATAACCAGGTAAGATCATATCAGATATAGGATCCGTTTAGAATACAGAGTATACTGTTTGAAAAATCTACTTTAAATACCTCACTAGATTTAGCCTAGACATCACTCCCTAAGTAGATCAATAAGTATTTTGGCTTGGAATCACTGATAAATCTTATTTATAAATTCATAATAACGATTATGAATATGAATATAAGTTACACTTAAAGCGCAGTATATGCAGCTTAACTTATAGAGTTTTCTGGCAATATTTCGGAAAGTCGCAGTCAAAACTTCGACACTGAACACTTATTTCAATCGGGTTTTCTATCGCCGCAAAGTCTCGTTGCAAACACTTAGAGACTCCAAAAAGTCAAATTTTTAGAGAGAGAATAGGTTTCTAGAGAGAGAAACCCGAAATGAGCAAGAAAGAAGTGAAGTGAGGCTTGTTATTTATAGGGTGGCACCTGAGCAGAAAGCGCGTCGCGTGTCGTGCCCTCGTGCTCAACTCTTATGGTATCACGTGTCGTATTCTCGATGGTCCACATCGCTTGGTCGGTTGAAAGAAGGGGTTGTCGCCTTTGCCACGTTGCTCTCTCTTGTTGGGCCACGTCATCATACGCATGTATTGTTTACAATTTTCAAAAAAATCATAGCTCTCACATAGGAGCTCTGTTTTCAAAGTTGTTTATATCCCCGATTTTGTATTGACAATTACTACAACATTCATTTAGATCTCAACAGCTAATTCTTATTTTATTTTTACCTTATATTTTATATAGTCTTACATTGTTAAAAGCTCTTGTGAAATTCGTAATTTCTTCATTTGAACTCCATTCTCGACTTTCTATATATTGACGAATTCCTATTTACGAGTACTTTGATTCTTCTTTACATTGTTTTGGCTCAAAAGCAACCAATCTCCATTTCACTTTTTACGACACACATTAATGCATAGGGTTGAACGCGAAACTTAGAAAAATCATAACTTCCTCATGTGAAGTCAGATTTAGGCGTTCTTTATATCTATGAGATCGTCATCACGACTACTACAACTTTCGTCAAGACTATTTATCCTAAATAATCTTTTATTTTTTGATGTTTATTTAACGTAATTAATTAAATTTGTAATAATGTTTTTATACAAATATTATAAGCTCATAATATTTGTCCGTAAAACATGTACATAATATATAAATATCATTTATATAACTCGTATCATGTATGAAGGATTTTTATTTATTTACGATTATCTTATTCGAGGATTAATTGTCAATAAAACGAATATTTATAATTTATAATCCTTAAATGCCTAGCCGAAATTCGAAGGCGTTACACAAACTATGACTGTGAAGGCTTGTACATAAAAGGTTTCGACATTTTTAGTCTAAGTAAATTGCGCAACAAGTTGAAAGTAACCCCAATGTGTCTGCAAGAGCTTTACATGAACAACTCCAATGTAAATATCAAGTAAACCTTTCAAAGATGAAAGATTTTAGGGCCAAAACAGAGGCCATGAAGCATGTCAAGGGATATGATGATATTATGCAAGCCAAGATACTATACTTAGAGAGTACGCTTTCGAACTTCAAACTCGTAACCCTTACACCACAATCAAGATCGAAGTGGAAAGTGAATCAAATCATGTTTCTGAAACAAGAACTTTCAAAAGAATCTATCATGCCTTAGACAACTGAAGAAAGATTTTCTAGTCGGTAAAAGAGATTATCTTGAAACAAGAACTTTCAAGATCGAAGTGCAATGAACCTACAGTGGTAAGGATTATTTCATTTTGTTACTAAATTTTACATGTATCTAATTGACTAAATGTTTAAACTTGTTTAGGTTCTTGATGGTAGAATATGAGAACATCAATTCATGTACTTGGTTTTTAAGTTGTTTAGGTGATGACATGAACTTAAATAGCAATTCAAACTTTTCCTTTATATTAGATAGATAGAATGTGCTTGAACTTGTTTATTGTTTATTTTTAACTTTCTTTGTTAATGCAACATGATAGCACTAATATTATTTGGTTTTGGTAGGGGTTGTTGCAAGTAATTGTTATTTTATTGCCTTTCTAGAAGTTGCAGTGAAGAAGAGAACGAGAACCTTGGTTTTGTTTTTTATCGTACGTATATGTATATTAACATTCTTATAAGATTTTTTTATTAAAAAGACAAAATTGCCCCTGGTGCGCAAGGCACATGGAGTGTTTTAACAAAGGGGGCTAACGGCTAATAGACGCAGGACCATGCACGGGGAAAAAACAGATGTTGGGATGCCCAACATGCAAAACAAAAGATAAAGATGAAACGTGAAAATTTTACAAACCACATAAATATTTTAATAATTTATTCTAAAAAAGGTAATAATAATATCATGATTTGCAAATTGCTCTTACAACTTTTAAAAACAAAAAAATATATATTCTTTCGGAAAAAGCGATTTCACAACCAATAAAGTATTTTACCACCGAAAGATCTCCAAATACTTTTCCAAAATATATATATATACCTCTATTTCTATTGGAATTGAAATATTTTGCAAAAATATCCTGTCTTTAGAACAGCTTTCTACACCTTTTAATTCCAAGCACGACTTATACCCTCAATCTTTTACTAAAAGGTAACTTTCCACAACTTCTGATACTACCATACCACAAGCCCTTTGGTGATGCTAGTTGATTGTTAAAGTATGGTCTAAATGTTTATAATTAAACTACATAAAAGCGGGTTACCGATTTATGCTTTGAGTTGAATAATTCATTTTCATTACATTTCAAATTTTAAACATTACATGTAAAACACCATGTATAAACGAAACCTTAAATATATTTAATTGTGTTCATTATACAATGTCAATATCCACCTATAAACTAAACAATATATATTAGGAAGACAAAGAAAAACCAGTAAAAGGTAGCATAAAATCCTTCACCTCGAATTGTCCTTGATCAAATAGCAATGATCATTTGCAAAATTAATTTTTTTTAAAGCATCAAAATCCTTGAGAACTTGTGAATTTAATAAAGATTTCTCCATCATTAAAACCTGATTTGTTATGACATAACATGACTGTCTGTCATGATTTGGAGTGATAGAGACAAAAAATTGCAACTTTTAGTCCCATCCAAAAAATAGATTACAAGCATAATAAAAATAAGGAAATATAAATGTAGAGACAAATTCAGAAAATACTTAAGAGAGAGATTGGAATGGAAGTAACATGCCATTGAACAAGGTTAGGTTGTTTGGAAGATTGGTAAAGAAACTAGCAAAACAAGCTAATCTTTGATCAAAGGCTCTGAAAGCAAGCCATAATAAGGTGGGTTTCCGTATAGACTGCGGCTCAGGCTCAGGCTCGGCTCGGCTTGGTTTGGTTTGGCTTGGTTGGTCTTCTGGTTTAGTAAGCATATATGTAAAGGAAACAAGGTTAATGGTTAATGGTTTTTAAGAGTTACTTTTCTGGGTAAGTAGAGTAGGCGCCTATCAACTTCCTACATCTTAACATCAATGGAAAAATGAAATAATACCTTTTTTATTTATTTATTTATTTATTTATTTTAATTTCGAGAGATATAAAAGAATAAAAACTCACCTTCACCTGTGGGGTCCACCTAACAGACTTTAATAACCGTACCCTCTCCGCCTGAAGCCACCCGTAGGGCTTTTATCATGCCTAGATAACCTCCTGCCACCACCAAATAAATAAATAAATAAATTATTTTTGGTCCCTCAGACTAACACCATCTTAAGCCCTTGTAAAATGACTATTTTGCCCTCCACCCCACCCCACCCCACCCCTTCATTCATACATTGACTTTGTTGCTATTATCATCATCATCATCATCATCATAATGAGTAATGAGTAATGACATAATCCTAACCCATCTTAAGTCTTGACAAATATAAACTTCGGAGGGCAGGATTGTCATTTTACAAAGTATTTACTTACCGAGAACCACCACCACTACGTCTTGGAGAATAACTACTACCGCCATAAGATGATCCATAACCATCACCGGGCCCACCACTTCGTCCCTACCAAATTAAATATATAAATACAAATTAATCATAATCCATCTTTTTAGGGTTTAGGGGTTTAGGGTTTAGGGTTTAGGGTTTAATACATGTGAGGGAGCATAGCTTCCATATCCATCATGAGGTGGGAAGTCATATGAATCACCATATCTGTGTCCATGACCTTTGGAATCTCTACTTTCATACCTTGAAACTTCAGGAGATGCAACAGGAAGATACGGAAGAACTTGAACAAAAGACGAAAATACCCCTTCTCTATCAAAAATATTTGCCCTCAATCTTGATGCCACTTGTACAAGTGCATCCTTCACATCATCAACATCTCCACAAATCTTATGAAAATGTGAACAAACAAAAAGTGTCATCACTCATCATCATCATATATTCATATGCTCTATCTATCTCTATGTATGAATATTTTAAGGGCAAATTGTACTTACATTTCTTTACCTAAAATAGCAATGTACTTATATTTTGCTACAAATATGGGATTTGTAATTTATTTGTTACATACTAAGGTGTGAGACTCATGTATTACATGGGTTTATTTAAAAGAAAAATTAAATACGAAATTTTAAACATTTGAGAAGTTTGAATTGATAAGAGATGTGAGAAAAATATTGAATTATTAAAATTAAAGTGTTTTTTTTCTCTTTTAAATGAAACAAATAAACAAAGGAAACTAATGAGGCTTTAATTTAGTAATTTTGAAATTAGAAGGAAAGTTCAATAATGAAATTGATATGCATTTATTATTACATTTAAAATACCGTGTGGAATTTAATAAAATGAAAAAAAAAATAATAAAAAATAAAAAAATAAAACATAAAACGATGCATGGAATACAAATTAATTTAAAATAACCACAAAATGACATGTGGCAAAAGGAATGAGAATGTGACATGTGGCAAAAAAGATCTTTATTTATTAGAGTAATAAGAAGTAGATTGCTATTTTGTGTTTTTTTCGGTTTAAACCTCAACTTTATTTTTTTTCTTGAAAAGACCTTGCACTTTTTCATTTTTTCCGAAGTGGCCCTTTTAGTCATTTTTGAAAAAAATTGTGAAATGTGAGGGTTTTTTTTAGAAAAACTAAAAAAATTAAGGGTTTATTTGGAAACAGTTACAAGATTGAGGGTTTTTTTTAGGAAAAAAAAAAGACAAAGTCGAGGGTTTTTTCAGAAAAAATGAAAAATACAAGGTCTTTTTCAGTAAAAAAATAAAGATGAGGTTTAATCCAGAATAAAAACACAAAATATAAGGTCTTTTACGAGATTAACCCTAAAGAAAATATAAGTATATTGCTATTATCAGTAAAAGATGTAGGTTTATTGTTATATCAATATTGTGGATAAAAAATAAAGTGGCAAAAAGAGTAAAAATTAGGTTGTTATTTCCTGCAAATTTCCTGATATTTTAATTAAATATAGAAGATAATACTTACCTGAACCATTTCATCATCATGTTTAGCCACTTTTGGAAGGTTTTCTTTTGAAAGTATGCGAATATTAGCTTGAGTGATTCTTCTCATTTCAGAAATTATTGATCCTCCTTTCCCAATTATGGATCCAATGTGAGAAGATTGAACAAGTAATCTTGTTGTAAATGAAAGAAGACCTGAATCTCTTTCAACTCTCTCACTACACTTTGATTGTAGACGGATTGCTGCATCAATAGTTGGAGAAAAACTGTCTTCAAAGATCTGTACATTATTAAAGAATCATCAGAAATCAGAAAAAGATTCATACTTTATCAAGATTCACTTTTACCTCTTTTGCAGATATAGATATTATGCAATCTTCAGCATCAGTTGTTGAGCTATCAACTTTAATACTTGCTCTAGATTCTTGTCTAATTTGATTGATTATGGCACCTCCTTTTCCAATTACACCACCAATATTTGCAGAAGGACAAATCAAACGAAGAGAAAACTCTTTTGAAGATGATTCACGCCTTGATGCTGGATAAAGAGCTCCATTTTCACTTTTATATCCACCAACAAGTGGAGTTAACCCCATAATTGGAGCGCCACCTGGCGTTCCCATAACAGAAGGATACATAGTGGAGGGAGTGAGTAAGTGTTGTTGAGATCTTGATGGGTTGTCATGAAGACGTGATGCTATTTGAAATAATGCTTTTCTAACAACAGAAGCTTCACCAGATATCTGAATCAAATCACAACAAATGAGTCAATGAAACATAATCTTAAACTGTTAAACATGACATAAGAAGAAATGTAAGCTTACTTGTATGAGTTCATCATTGCTTAATGCACAAGAAGGCAAATGATGATCTTTCATAATACGAATCTGAGCACTGGTTTCTGTCCTTATAGTTTGAACTACTTGTCCACCTTTTCCAATAACACATCCAATTTGATCAGATGGGACAAGGAGGCGAGCTGTAACTTGTGGTGCCATGTCAGCAGCCTCATCAGGGCCCACTTCATCAGCTACTACTCTGTCATGTACTTTGAAAAGGGCATCTTGTGATGGACAAACTCGTTGATCAGTTTCAGTTTCATCAAATTTGTTTGTTTCATCATTCGTGCTGTAGATAGTAATAACGCGTTCTTCACACCCTGAAACTGTCTCACCAATTCTGATTTTTGAATTAGTTTCGGATCTTAATTGCTTGATAATATCACCTCCTCTTCCCATTATGCTTCCGATTTTGTTACTAGGGCATAAGTATCGGTATACAGTATCATCTGAATTGATTGAGATCTTTCCTCTATCATCACCATTGTTGCGTCTTTTAGTTCTTCCATTATCGTTGTGATCAGAGTGAGAGCTGGAACGCTTTCCATGGCTGTTTCTTGGTCCGGCCATATGATGCAAGAAAGGGTTTCTCTTCTAATGGAATGTGTCGACTTGTAAATTGCAAACACTGAGAAAATCAGCACATGAAAAATTGAAAATGAAGGCAGAGACTACAGCATAGCAATTCCAATTCAAAGCTAAATCATTCACGAGATGTGACATTGAGAAAATCGCGGTAAGCAAAGTTTAATAATCAACACTAGGTTATTCGTGTAAGAAAATCAATACCAAATTTTATGTGTCTGTATTCTACAATGTTGTATGCATGTTATAAGGAAAACAAAATGGATAACCATATAACTATAATCGAAGAAGATACTTCGATTTCTATCAACATTCTTAACCTCGTAAAAGTGAAGTCGTAAGGTAACCAAATTCGAGTACTAACATTATAAAAACTAAAACCATACATGTAACAACAATGTCGAAAACCTATCAAGCCTAATTATATCGATCTAGACTGCATGTCGTGATCAATTGTAAAAGAGAAAGAACAGATTTGACGAAAATTATTATGTAAATTCAGATATAGTACCTTGATGAGATTCAGTGTTCTGCGAGGTCGAAATCGACACCAAGTATGGAGTGTCGAGAACCGCTTGCGATTTTGGAATCTAGGGTTTTTGATTTAGATTTTTGCCCCAACGTCGTCAATTCAGCAGCACTACACAGTAAAAAGCAAACATATCCCAATTACAATCAGCCCCCTCAAATCTTCTACTTATTACATAAAGACCCACATGGTTTATTACAATTTACAACAATCAAAAATTAAAAGTAAGGATAAATGACCTAGAAGGGTAACATAGTTTAGATTGTGTTCATGTTTAGTTCTTGAAGTTATTTTTTGTTCATATATTATCATTGAATTTGTTTGGACTATTCATATTACATACTTATGATCGGTTGGTGTAGGTAACATAGTTTAGCTTTTGTTCACATTTAGTCCCCTTCAGTTTTTTTTGTCTACATATTAACATTGAACTTTTTTGGATTGTTCACATTACATACTTATGAACTTATTTGGATAGTTGGCATTACATCCTTATGACCCTGCAGCCCTGGTCTTCTTCTATGTTGCCATTGAACCGTTTTCAACTAGCCCGTATGAGAGGTGTTTCGGTTTGAGCTCGGACCTACTCAATCTTTCATCTTTTTTAAAATGTTATAACTCATTCGTTTGAAATCGGAATGTTATAATTTCTTTTCAGCACAGAGGTTTGTGTGTCTACTTCATTTTAGATTATATAAACATATTATTTGGTTACATGTTGATTAAGTTAAGGCTCTCGAAACATTGGGTATCAAAGCTAAATTTATGTTATTTCAGCATTGAAGTTAATGTTTATACTTCATTTTAGACTATATAAACACCTTATTTCTTTATATATTGAGTTAATTTTTGTTGGTTGATGTGGTATTATTGTAATCATTTAGCTTCAAACCAAGTATTTAAACGAAAATTAGCACCGACACCAAAACCGGTATAGTCTAACCAGTCCAGTTATCGGTTCTCATTATTAGTCTAAACTGATTCCGGCTCCAAACCGGGTTCGGTCTGGTTCGGACTGGTTGCTCATCCTAGTTCCAACTACCTAATACCATGCAGGCTCATCAAATAACTAGACCAGTCCTAAAAATATCAAACCATTTCTCTAGTGATGTAGATAAACTATTGTAGAAATGGTTAATGACTTATAAGGGTAACATAGTTTAGGTTTTGTTAACATTTGGTCCCTTATATTTTTTTGTCCATATATTACCATTGAACTTGATTGGACAGTTCATATTACATCCTTATGAGCAGATAAAACCTACACTAACCGGTCATAAGGATGTAATGTGAACAGTTCAAACAAGTTTAATGGTAATATGTGGACAAAAAATAACTTAATGAAAATTATGTAAGAGGAAGATAATGCTGAAATTTCTAAAAAAAATGGAAGTAAATCAAGTTAAGAATTGAATTTTAAGAATTGTGGATGATTATAATGTATATGTGATATAAAAACGGCGTAGTATAGTGGGTTTGAGTAACTATGTTTATATATTTTGGTATATTCACTTTCTCATATATATATATATATATATATATATATATATATATATAGGAGTGAGATTCGTTGATAACTCATAGTTTCCCGAGAACCAGAAAACTAAAGGTGGAGTGTTAGATCAAAATTAATTCATTAAGGGCATGATCGTCATCTTACTAATCTCATTTAAAGTTTAATTTTATGTGTTATTGGAAATATTAATAGAAATGTCTAAAAATTTACATAATAAATCAAATTTTTGGAATTTTTTAAAAATAGGATTTTTCGATTTTTGTTTTTTTTTTAAGTACAGATTATTTAACTTTTTATAGAAAACTTGAATTTTTGAAATAAATAAATAAATAAAGTATATATTAAAAAAAACTACAATTTTTTAACTCCATTTAAAAATCAATAAAATTAAAAAAAAAACTGGAATATTTAAAAAATACTATAATTTTTTAACCAAAAAAAAAATCAACATTTTAGGTATATATATATATGCATATTTTTACAAATGCATATATATATATATATATATATATATATATACTATAATATTTGTAAGGAAATCATAAGAAAATCTCATTTTATTTACTAATCTATAAGCACAATAGAATAAATATTTTATTCGATACAAAATAAAATATAAAAAACAAAAAAAAATCTACAAAATTTCAAAGCGGTTTCATGTCTTCGTGTCAATATTTTCATATTTTCTTCAGTTTATCATTTTTCACCTCCTCAATATTCACCATAATTTCTTCCAAATCTACAAGAAAATTAAAAAAAATGATTTATGCAAAAATACTCACAAAAATACATATATGATTTACATGTGATTAACATATGAATCACATGCGATTCACATATGAATCACATGTGATTCACATATGAATCGCATGCGATTCACATATGAATCACATGTGATTCACATATTAATCACATTTACATATGACATCATATGTGAATTACATTTCATTTTCATATGAATCACATGTGATTCATATGTGAATCACATGTGATTTACATGTGAATCAAATGTGATTAATATGTGAATCACATGTGATTATTATGTGACACATGTGATTCATATGTGAATCATATGTGATTCACATGTGAATCACATGTGATTCATATGTGAATCATATGTGATTCACATGTGAATCACATGTGATTCACATGTGAATCATATGTGATTCACATGTGAATCATATGTGATTCACATGTGAATCACATGTATAAATCCTACACACTTAACCCATACAGAATAACAGTTCCACATCAGAATAATACAACATTTATGAAATCTAACTAAATCTGAATTCTAATCTTTAATCTAAAATAACATAATCGCTATCAAATATAACCACAAATACAGATTCTAGTCTGTTCACACTAGATTTGTAAAACAGATATGTAACACAGTTGAAAGGGCTTCAATTCATGTCTCTACAAAACACGAATAACTTACACGTAATATCATAAAATGTCTAAGCATTTGCAATGTTAAAAGTTAGATTAAAATGAAATACATACGCAAACAAATAGTTAGAAATTTGAATCCTTACTGCATCATGTATATGATGTTAGATTTTACATAAGGATTAATATTCTACTACTAAAACAATTTGCATAAACAAATACTTCAAAAGTTCCAAGTACCTTAAATTTGCATTGTGCAACTGAAGTAACTCTAACAACTATGTCAAATTGAGCTTGTTCCTCACTTATTGTAACACCAAAAAAATGAGCACATTGTTTTTTCTACCTGAATTTGACTTAAATAAGCTACCAAAGTTGCTAAAAAGAAAAATTTGTAACACCAAAACATACACACCTTCCACTAACTAATGTTCCTATTGGAAGAGGTCTAACTGTAACTGTCCCATTTAAAGCTTCTTCAAGAACATTGGCTGAAATCGTTGTCTTAATAGGGACTCTAAGCTTACTTAAAAAATGAAAAGAAAAAAGAAATGAATGATTATTTGAGTCAACATGAATTCAAAATCAAATACAAAATCCATATGGTTTTGATAGAACATACCTGAATAAAGCTGAAAACATTGTATTCAAAGTTCCAAGGTTTGATAGATCAATTTCCATGTCCATTCCTTCAGCATCAAGAGCCTATACAATTCATACAATATGCTTCGTAGCTAGTATGAATCCTTTTGTATATAAACAAATAGTTTTTGATTACTAGCGTTTTTGTCAGGATGATATCTGTATACAGGGGAATCAATATTAACAACATTTACATACATAATCAAGACATTCAAATAACAAGATGATACAATTACAAACCTAAAATAAAACCGATACGTTTAGATTCAAACTTTTTTTTTATAAAGAGGATTCCTAACATTCTAATCTTTAGAATCAGTAAAAGTGTGACATCCCCATTTTCACGGCCAGAAAAGACCGATTTTGTTTATGCTTTATAAAAATCAGAGTACCTCTTTTAATAAAAATGTTGCGGAATTTGTTCCCAGAAGAACATGATAAATACGTTATCAAAGCATTTCCGAAGAAATGTATTTTTATTCATTTTCAAAACCTTGGGATGTCATTGTCAATACAGAAACATAAGCATAAACAGAACTTACATTCATTTACACTAGTGATCTACATCTCTTTTAAATCTCTTAGTGTAAAGTAGCTTCATATCGACACCTGTGATACAAATAAGCCGGAGTGGGTCAGGTTGGGAAACCTGGTGAGTACATAGGGTTTTCAACCCACAATAATATAATTATTATGTTTAAACATCAAACAATCAACCCAATTACCCATCCCCATTATCTTCTTTACTCTTAAGGGTCTACCCTAAGATTCAGCTATTCCTCGATCATTCATTCCTAAGGAGTATCCTAAGGAATCGGCACTAATTCTGCATAGTCGCCAGGGTTTATCTCGTTTATTAACAGTATCATTTTCGAGAGTCCACTCGTAATACCTGTCTATGGGTTTTTAGAGTACACCAGGTGAACACATCGTTCACAACACCTACAGGTTGCGAGGCTGCTAGTGTGCCACTAGACTGTCTAGAATAGTCCGTGATTGTCATCCATAATCTGATAGATGACGGGGCCATCGCTTGGGTCATCGTTTGGCTCATCAATTTGGCTCATTGCTTTGGCTCATCGTTTTGGCTCATCGCTTAGGTCATCGCTTAGCACCATATTTTATCACTCATATATCATCGCTCATCGTTCATCTCATCTTTCATCGCTCGTCATTTATCTCATCTTTCATCGCTCATCATTTATCTCACCTCTAATCTACCCATGTTTTACCCAACACATTTTGTAGATATAAAATACATATACAGTTTAGATCATTTAAAACATGTATAAAACGTTTCATCCAGCATAGACAACAAGTATTCAGACAATATACACACATAGCACGTAATTTATATAAAATACTTCATATCTATGTGTAAGATGAAAGTAACTATGCACTCACTTGATTAGGTGGTGACTCGGTACTCGGACAGCACTTCGTTATCTCAAAACAATTTTCCCTTGACGAAACCTAGTATCAATACCACTAGGGTTTAGTCTAACGTTAACCGCGACTAATTAATAGTCTAGCTATTATTACTATTATAT